CCCATTTAATCATACAATCTTTAACTAGTTCAGTTTCTGAGTCCAATTCTAATAAAACGTTATATATCCTCTTAATATGACCTTTGGCACCATCTCTTATTTGCTTCAAAAAAGTCCCATCTTCCAAAACAAAAGTAGTCTTTTTATCAATTCGCCATCTATCTTGAATTTGTCCATACAAAAGCCAAGAAAAATTTGGATTATTTTAAACTTCATTCTGTTTTCAGTCTTACTTAGGTATTACTTAGAGTAGACTATTCACTTACACTTACATCCTGAGTTAATGTTTCAAGAGACTTTCCTCTGCTGATTCGCTGACTGTTGGAACCATGCCTTAGTGACCTGAAATAATGACATTCATTTAGTAAAAAACTAAGATCACTGAATGTGCATCAGTGGGACAACAGATTTTGCAATTATGGGTTTGATTTTGCATTACACTCAGCTGCATCTTGCTTTCAACAAATAGTAACTTTCACCTGTTTTGGGATTACAATTCCCACATTAGCTGGGAATCATGACAGCTGAAGGTCAACAGATATTAAAGGTGCTAAGTTAGGGAAGTAAGAAGCTTTTATCTGCAGTCCAGAATTCCTAGTTGTATTAATCCAAAGAGATGGTGGACTAGTTCATTTTTTTTTCTTTTTAATGGATTTTCTCAAAAAAGAGACAAATTATTTAAAAAGCGATGATGTGAAAAATAGAAAGATTAACTAAAAAAGTACTTTACTGAAGTAATTGATAAATCTGTGAGGGCAGTTGAACAATAAAGGTCATGACTGGACCACCCTGTTTATGGAATTTTTTCCTGACTGTTTACAACCAGGACTTGGATATCTTGAAACCAATTATATTTAAAATATAAGTCTTCTATTATGATAAATGTCATTATTATTGCAATAAAAACACATCTATTATTTATTATGAACTAATTCTAATTTACTCATGTTTGCTGTGTAACTTATAAGAATTTTATCTTCTACTTTTAACATGCTCTTAAAAGTTTGTATTGAGTTCTGCTTACCTGCGTTCTTGGCGTATATGATGCTGAACACTAAGAATAGATCGTTCTTTTGCAGGCTGTCCCTCAAAAGATCCACTAAGCATACGCTGGCGAGTACAGGCTCTAGGTAAACAGATACTATGATAAGTAATAATTAGGGATATACAGCACTTAGGAAATAACATTGGTGTGCAACCTTTTAAAGAACCTACATAATTTTCTGGGATCATGGAAATGACACAGTTGTCTTAAAGAGTTCCAGACTCTTTAAGTATTGTTTTAAAATTGAATCTGAAACAGGCATAGCCAGGAAACTGCAGATAGTGTCATGCAGCCCTCAGGAAGGATAGAAGACATCTTTCTCAAACATTGTCTATGCAAGGGATGGAAAGGTTTGAATAATAAATTCCATTTTTCAAGGTAGGATGAAAAGAACTAGGTCAAGACTAATTCACTAAACCGTCTGTCAGTAAGTCTTACCACTAAAATGGCAACCTTCTCCATTCATCTCACTCTTGTGAGTTCCATTGTGTGGAATTTGGTCTCAAGCTGTGATCCGTGATGCATTGCATTTTACATTGCTTTCATTTTACATGAAACCTACTTCATAATGAAAGGTCCCTCAAATCTCTCTTTAATACCTAAGAATTTTATTGATTGCAGACTCCTTGTCCAGAAGATTTCTTGCCCTAATGCTGAAAACAGATTTGCGNGAGATCTTTATACACTGTTGTGTCTAGTGACTTGCCTTCTGGTCAATGTATTTGTCTTCAATTGCCAGCCTTTTAGAGTGATCACAGGAGGAAGAAGAAGCTGATGGAAGCCTTCTCAATAAACAAGTTGTATCTTGCTGCTGTCGATCAATGAACTGTTTCATAAAGCTTTCCCTTTTGAGAGAGAGAGAGAGAGAGAGAGAGAGAGAGAGAGAGAGAGAGAGAGAGAGAATTGCCTCTTATTTATATTTCCTTTGTACACGTATAACAAATAAATGACAACCAAATTTGAATAAATATATCCTTCATTTCATTTATCATCCAAAGCTCTTTGCTATCTGATAGAACAATTTGAAATACCAATAAAATGTATTTTTTTCAATATTTTATAATAATAATTGGGGCAGCAAGCAATAGGAACCTGTTCTATCAATTGGGCTTGTGGAAAATTACTATTACTAGTCTACTATGTAGAATTCATTGTAAAAGACTAATAAGATATTATTGCCAGATGAGTATTTATAATCCCACCAATATAATCCAGAAAATTTCCTATTTAGTAAGTTTTTAAATGCAATCTATAGATTATCATGGTCAATACTTATCAATTGATAAACAGATTTAATATGTGTTTATATGACAGAAAGTTCAAGGATAGAAGTTCTAATACCAAATCATTCTCCCATATTTTTTTCTGTCTTTCAAGATAACTTGACTAAAGATATTCTCTTGTTTTCAACTAAAGAAGATGCATTTGAAGGTAATGTTCTAATTGTGAAGCAATCAATAATTGAAAATCAATGACTAAAGTCAATGTACATGAATCGAAATTGGAATTTGTGACCATTTTTCGCAAATATATTCAGCAATAACAGTGTTTCAATCAATACTTCTCTAAAACACTTCTCCCATTTTTCTACCTTGCCAAGAAATAGATTGTGATCTACTTTATCAAATGCTTTACTGAAATCTAAGAAATACCACATCCACAGCATTTTGCTGATCCTCTAATTTAGTCACTTTGTCAAAGAATAAAATAAGATTTATTTGGCATGATCTGTTTTTAACAAACCCATGTTGGCTTCTGCTTATAACTTTGTCAGCTTCTAGGTGTTCACAGATCTTTTGCTTGATTATCTTTTCCAAGATCTTTCAGGTATTGATGTCAGGCTGTTTGGTCTGTAATTTCCTGGATCTCTCCCCCCCCCCCTTTTGAAGATGGAAACCACATCAGCTCTTTTCCAGTCCTCATGTAGTTCCTTGATGCTCCAAGAACTTTGAAATATATGTTTCAATGGTTCTGAGATGACGTCTGCCAGTTCCTTCAGAACTCTGGGATGTAATCCATCAGGGCCTAGTGAAATGAATCCTAGAGCTGACACGTGTACTCTTACCTTATTTTTGCATATTTTAATTTGCATTCCTAACCTGTCATTTATGGTTCTGTTTTTGGTAAGTTGAGTACTGTTTTCTTTTTTGTGTGAAAACAGATGCAAAGTATGAATTAAGCAGTTCTGCTTTCTCTCTACTGCCCATTACTTTTTGTCATCTTCTTGCATTAGTGGACCTATTGTTTTTTCCCCTTGTTTTTTTGTATTGAAATAAACTTTTTAAAATTGTTTTTGATATTTGTTGCAAGTCTTACTTCATTCAAAGCCTTACCTTTCCTAACTTGATCTTTGCAGATTTGGGCTATTTGTTGATATACTGCCTTAGTTATACTGCCTTAGTTATGTGTCCTTCTTTCCATTTTTTTTGTACTTATCCTTTTTTTCTCTCAGTCGGTCTGAGAGTTCTTTGTGCAACCATGCTGGGTTTTTTCCTGGTTTTTTTTTAGTGGTATTGAACTGGACTGGGCTTTTATAATCAGAAATTCCATAATTGGAATTCCATAATTGGAATTTTCCATATTCCGTTCTTACAGTGGCTGTCTGGTCAAATAGAATGACTAAATGAGCTAGAGGTGGTGTGGTGATATTCCCAGTTGTTTAAGGCAGTACCAGAGCTTGTCACTGTCAACACAGTCAAAGGCTTTTGTGTAGTCAGTGAAAACACGTAGAGCTCTTTTTGATATTCCTTTGTTTTTTTCCATCATCCAACGTAGATTGATAATTTGACTTCCTTTCCAAACTCCTGCTTGTACATCAGGAAGTTCTCTGTTGGCAGTTGGATTCAAATGTTACTAGATTATCTTCAAGAGAATTTACACATGTGTAGTATCAAGGTCTATGGTTCGTGATTGGAACAGTCTTTCATATAATCTTTCTTTGATATTGGGTTAAATATTGACCTTTTCCATTCTTTCGGCCGCTGACCAGACTTCCATACACTTTGCCAAAGCACTGTCAGTGCTTTGTTGGCAGTGGTCTCAGCAACTTAAAGTAATTCCACCCACTCCTGGGGCTTTGTGGTTAAGCAACTGGCTTTCAACAGTGGAGAAATCTGTTTTCACTAGGAGCTGTGTCAATGATTTACCCATCCGTGTTACTAGTATGATATTTTTCTTTGTTCTTTCTCTGTAGCTTTATTGGTACCTCCCAGCCAGGGGGACTCACTGCTTAGTGCCATATCTTCCACATCTTTGAGTCAATTCATAAAGTTTTTTGGCAGGGTAAACTGGAGTAGGTCACCAATAGGTCTTTCTCCTATATATGATAGCATTAATTATCAAACTTACTTAATTTGAAGTAAGACCCTATAAACACAGCTGGGGCTTATTTTTAAGAACACATTACTATAAGAAGATTATTTTTAACAACAACATGCTGCCCGACTCCCAGTGGCTCAGTGAGTTGTAAATTTTGACACAGGAGACAGGAAAAAGAATTTTTCTACACATTGAAAAACAAACTACCAAAGACCCAAAAATATGAAAATGAAGAACAAAAAACCCTCTGCCTATGAACTTCAAAAGAGCCAGCTTTGCAGTAAGAAGGCAGAAAAAGTTTACTACCTTATTTTGGGAACTGTGAAATCTGAAGGGAGCTTGGAGATTTTTACCATCTGAGGCCTGTTAGGGAATTTTTCAAATATCCGTAGGCGTAATGGGAGCTTTTCTTTGGTATCTGCATTTGCTTCACTTTGTTTCAGCTGAAAATTAAAACAAAAAAGTAAAAAACAAAAATTGGGAGGTCTAACATCTTAGGGATCAAAATGTTTTCAAAACAGATTTTTTTTCAGAAGAAACGCAAGCAGTTGAAAAACCACTAGGTGGCAGAAAAGAACTACAGAAGATTCTGACATCATTCTAATGTCAGTTTCTCACTATTTTAAGGCTCCTGTTACAGTTGAAACTCAAGCAGTACATTTCTTGAAAGATATTAAATGCAAAGGATGTTGTATAAATATTTGTTTTTTCACAGTTCTCTAAATGCTATAAGAAAAATAAAGTCAATTTAAACTCATCTGTTATTACATTAATAGAATTATGTTTTGGACTTGGACTGCAAACAGAATCCCTGTTGACTTAGAAGTTGTTAAATTCTTAGTAAACCAAGGAATCTTGTTTTGGAATTTACTGATAAGGAGTGGCACTGTAAGAAACTTGAAGGCGACATAATTTGGTTCAAGGCTTTGTTTTCTGTCCCACAAAGACAAGCTAATTTTTCTTCTAGAATAGCGAGATGCTGTATTTTGAATGTTTGGTTTTTAAATGGTTTTCCATACTGCATGTTTTTATTGTTGTTGCTGTGAGCTGCCAAGAGTTGGGTATATAAGATGGGCAGCCATGTATGAATCCTAAAAAAAATAAACGGTCAATAGAAAGAAAATAGGAAGATGAAAGAGGTAGAAAGAACATATGCAAAGGCCTAAGGGAAAATATATTTCCCAGGCAGTTAATAAGTTTAATGCTAAGCAGCTTTCCTAGACGCTCTTAGCCAAAGGAATGAGCATATTGTAATGAGAATTATATCCTCATTTCAATAGCTAAAAGGTAAAAGTATTTCTTTTGCAACAGTAATAGGACGAAGATATTTTCTTAAATGAGCCATGGTGGCTACTCAGCTACTAGCACACCCATTAAGTTGTACAAACATTTGAAAGAAATAATTTGGCAGACATAGACTGTAACCAATAAAAGAAAAAGGAACTAAAATTCCGGCAACCTGTTTCCTCAGAATAGAGGAATGATAATTTAAAACATACACAACCAGATGCACTGCATATAGACCATCCCAACCACCCACATTCAACATAGATATTTGTTCATATCACAGAATCTACATACTCCAGTGTGCCTACCTCATAAAGACTGCCCAAATGAAATAGCTCACTAAAGCAAATCAAGCACATAGCTGAATTTAGCATGCTCTCTAGGAGAGTTGATGAAGAATAAATCATCATAGATAATTTGAAGGTGTCTAATCGGCAGAGTCTCCTTTCAGCCTTCCGTGTGGAAGGATAACTGCCTCCAAATAGCTCTCGCTGTTACTAACTGCACGTACCCTAGAAACACCTTGAGCTGAAGGATAAACAAAAGGCACAGATTTAATGATAGTGTAGTAAAGGATAAGGAGATCTTTAAGGGCATTGGAAAGGTCATAATTATCTTCAATCTTATCATTAATGAATTCTTAGCATGAATGTAGTAGTATACTAATTAAAACAGTTTCAGAACAGATTAGGAGATGCGACAAGGAATGCTATTCCTTCCAGGTTGCCAACAGGGAGTCTAGCCAGTGACCCCTTTTCCTTGGTCCCCCTTGGAACTCCGGAGGGGAGGATGGGAGGTAATAAGGAGATCATTTCAGGTACAAATGCCAGGTTGACTGTTGTGTACCTGATTTAACATGCATACACACTTCTATAAAAAGAGACACAACTACCGGGGAATCTGAAATGTTGCAAGTGAATTTGTACTGATGAAATCAGAAACTGCTGATCACAGACTCAAAAGTCCATTAAGGACAGGTTGTGACATGGTCTTATATATTCTGCTTTGTTGTTGTTTTTTTGGTGTCCTTTTTAAAAATTAAAGCCTGTGTGCTGTTCTTTAAAAAAAAAAAGAGAGAGAGAAAGAGAGAGAGAGAGAGAGAAATAAAGCAATGACAAAGATTCTTCACCCAAATGGTAAACTAGTATTTCAGAAGGAAAGGAGGGGAAAAACTGGCATCAGTCAAAGATGGGAAAATAACATAAATGGAGCTTAGAATCCCCCCAATGAAAAGCACAAAGAGAGGGAGAAAGAGAGGAGAGAGGAGGGCTTTTAATAAAACTGCACTCCCAAAAAAGCAAGAATGGCAGATAACAGTTCTACATGTTTTAAAAGGGCTCTTGGACAATAGAAAAGAATATAAGAGACATTTTCACTAGTAGCCACTTATCCACAGAATTTATCAAATTTATATCTCAAGTATCACCTTTTTGAGTTGCAGCAATGCAGCATGGGTTTGCTATTGGTTTGTTGTTGTTTTTTTTTTTTGAAGTTTTTAGTTAGCCTATATCCTGGTAGTTCTTGATGATCTGCCATCCAAGTGCCCTAGCTTTTCCAGATCAGTTGGTTTTTCAAAGGGAAGGAATGAAATATCTCATCCTATAATAAAGCCTTTAGGTACATATAAAAAAGCTTTAGAGGCCTGATTAGTGTAGAAAATGCCACTTTATTTAAAAATATCAAAAACATGAAAAAGCTTTGTAAGATTAAAGTTACTTTTCATGTTAAACCAGAACTGTATTTGTGTGTGGATGTGTGTATATATGTGTGGATAGGGGTTGCAATTTTAATTCAAGGTTTGAGGGAGCTGGCTTCTTACGTAGAACTGCAGAGAATATGTTGGAGCCACAATATCTGTTCCTGTTTTGATTCTAAGTTGCAAACATTTTGACATACATTTCACCCATTAAAAACCCCATGACCCTTCCCCAAAATAGGATAAACACTCTGGTCTGCCAATGAAGACTTTAGGAATTTTTTCTACACTAAGCCATAGTAATGCAAACCCATCCTTTGCGATTTTAACCCATGCCACCTTTCCTGTGGCAGCTTCTGTGTTCTGTTTGGGATAAATTTATACATTAAGCCAAAAGCAAATGAAATAATTATCTTTGTACAAGGCAACACAAAGTGTGGCCAATTTTAATAGGCAAAACTGAGGAACAATAAAAATACTCATTTGTGGGGCAGTCTAGCAAAAGATTATATAAGCAAGGGTAGGAAAAAGCATTGTGCTGAAACAATAAAACAATTAATAACATGCTTTAAAATAATCTAAGCTCAAAATCATTCTGCAATGCCTCACAACATCTGTCGTGCTGAGATAATGCTACCTATTGGGAAGTATAAGGCATTTAACTTCACTTAGTGCCTTTGAACACTTTGGGGTGTAATATTTGCTCAGCATGGTGCATATCTTGTTCTTCCTCTGCATTGTTCAATTTATAGAAAGTGCTTGCATTATTTTAACCTCGTCCACCCAATAACTTACAACTGTACCCCAAAGGTTCAAAATATGTAAAAGGTTCTTACAATAACTTTTCTAGCTTTAAATTCTGTATCATAGCTGAGTTCATAGCTGAATTCATTTTTTTTAATTTTAGTGCACTTTTGTTTAATCTTTTAAACAAAATGTTTAAGAATCTGGCAAAAGTATCTTTGAACTTTCAGGTAGCATGTATTTATCAATGATGTTCACTAAGTAAGTGAGGCTTTGAGAGAGCAGATTCCATCAAACTTTAAACCTCTGTGTAAGATAAAAATGAAATATTAATGTGGGATGCCTAACATTAGCTGACAAAAACAAACTTTTCCATTCTCCTTCCCTCTGCAGTAACATATATACCCCCAAATCTCTTTCGAGGGTCAGACTGAGGATCTTGAAAAATAGGGCAAAAAAGGGCATAGCAAGAAAGGGACAAAATTTATTTACTTTCCTATTTTTTTTAAAGGCTACAATCCTACACTGAATTACCAGAAACTGAACAAAAGGATTTCTGACATATGTGAGGAAATTGCAGGATGGAGAACAAGATGGAGAAGGAGAAACAAGTTCAGTCAATCTGTAAAGCTGGAGTGAACACTGGGGATTTTTAAAAATCCCAGCATTATAAATAATATTTTGATATGGCCAGAAATTACAATTACATTTGAACAACATAAAAATAATAATTTTACTAATAATACTTACTGGAGTCTATTTAAGTCCAATATTAATAATATTGTTTAAGTCTAATGTTAGTATTCTAAACTGATTTTGCAAGCCTTGTCAGGATGGAATGTAACCATATCAACAGAAATAAGCTAAGACTGGAACAGTTTTTAACAAGTTTGAATAGCCAATTAAATAATAGGTAACTTTTTTCAATGTCATATTTTCTCCGATTTTATTTATGAGTCACTATTATGGTTTGAATACTTACATTTACACATTTCAAAGATGTATTTGTCATTTTGTTAAACAGCCAAATATATGAAAAAGGCACACACATATTTGACAAATAAAATGTTCACAGGAACTCATGAATATATTCTATTTTAATCCACATGATACAGTCTTTGAAAAGGTCAGATCTGTCTGAAATCAATGGTGCATTTGGAATGAAGAGCTCTTACTAAGAGGCACAGTTTTCCTAAAACTGGCTAGCTACGCTGAGTGACTTCATGTTGAGGATGAAATGCCCAACACTTTGGAAACTGTCTTTTTTATTGAGAACCTTTCTGGCTGTGGTATGAGGTATAAACACCACAAAAATGAATAAGTAAATACACAAGCAGATAAAGAAATAAAATGTTTAGGAAATGAGGGGACACTTCAAATGAATAAGGCTTGATGATGAAAGATGATGTATTTCAACAATTGAACATTAATTGGATTGCCACTTTCCAAAAGAGCATGGGAGTCAAGGTGGGGCCTGAGTTGACTTTGTAAATATATCACTTGAGTACATTTCAATGTTGGAACGCTATTTAACATACAAAAAGGAGGTTAATTTTCAGTTCTTCTCTTTCCTGCTATCTGTTTTATTGCCAGGTTCATAGAAATGTATTACCAAAAACTCAGAAAATGCTTGCAGGGATGGCTAAAACAATGGGAATTGCACTAAATGATGAGAAAGCACAACATAATACACAAGAACAGAATGGGCATAGCACT